ATTCCTATGTGTAGCCAGATACACAAAACTAGGATGATCCCTGGACTCTCCTCCTCCATTAAATATCTGTGGAGATAGTGCCAGTAGCAGAAACGTAGGATGCATAGGCAGGTAATTGTTATACAAAAGATTTTATGGATACCTTCTTTCACAATGATCAGCAGAAATTAGCACAATAAATTGATGAGATGTTCCTGACAGCAATCTATCCAACCATATTGCCAAATTTGTAGCTTCCTATCTGTCAATCAAAGCAGTCCTACACACTCTACTAACTTAGATAGGAAATTATCTGTGTGTGACTAAGGATCTCTTCACAGATGCCAGCAAAAGAGAAGAGGTGCAGGGTATCTTGTGTCACCTCGCGCACCCTGCCTCCTTCCCCATGATATGGTGGGGATGGCACAAGGCACATTGGTGCCCTGTCCTCATCTGCATCAGCTGGGAGAATGGGAGGCAACACATGACAACATGTGTTGCCCCATCACCCTTTTCCCCATCATATGGGGAAACAAGAGGAAAAGTGTGGAGGAAGCATCTCCACTTTGGGAGGAATGTGGGTGGAACCTGCCATGTGTCGTCTGATGTCACTCCTCAGGTCCTGGCCAGGCCCAGCCGAAACTGAAAAATGGAGCTGAAAAACCTCCATGTGAAGAGGTCCCTTGATTACTTTTATCTGGGATGACTTTATCTTGTGGGCCAGTGAAAGGTATCCAAAATCTCCAAGTCACCAAGGTCACATTACCTTTCAATGACAAAAATGATATGCACAAGGTTTTCCCAAAATGCATACTGGTAACTTCAGGCTCGGCCTCTCTAGCCCTAGAAGATGGAACTCATGTGACAGCCAAAATAGCTGATCTTAATTAGTAATCTGCTACTCACCAGCATCTAATCTCCTGTTTTCAGGTACAATGGAGGATACTGTCTCATTGCCAGAGTTGAGTGAAGATTCAGCTGCTACATTTAAAGTCTTCTGGAATAGGAAGACAGAATGTCATTCTTCTCTGGCAGCAGAAAGTCTTGGCAAGTTCTACAATTTTCTATTCTATAAAGCAAAAATAAAAGAGACTGGTTATGAAGACTTTGCTGATATTCCAGATAAAAAGTTTTTTCTGAGCTCATGACTAGTCTATTTCTTACTTTTACCAACATCCTAATGATTAATTGGTGAATCTAACTACTACTTGAGCTAAAAAACCTATGGCCTGCCAGATCGAGGAGCAATAACTCCCATCATTCTTTACCAGTTAAGCAGTCTTGATCATAATTAGATCTGAACAGATCTGAACTGATCTGGAAATCTTTGGGCCTTCTCAGCCCTGTTCTATACCCAGCACTAAAACCATGTTATGTGGGAGAGAATAGAAGGCACAGAAACACTCTATGTCCATCCTTACTGTATCATTGTGTAAAGAGACGACAAGAAAGGTTCATGTGAATCAGGTGTGAAGGCCAGTTGGGCCATTTGTGAAGAGTTAATGTGTTCCTTGGGGAAGAAACATGCCAATTATCTAACAAGAAATTGAAATTACACAATGAAGCACAGTCTAGAGGTCAATGCCCATACATTCCTGTACACTCTTACTGACTCATGCAATATATTCCAAGCAATAGCTGCAGAAATTAGGATTCTCAGATGTGCTGGCAGAAACAAAGCTAAAAGATATACAACAAGAACACATGCCTTTATGTGGAATCACTTGAGAAGTTCTAAAATTTGGCCTTGAAGTGAATTCTTACCAGGAAGTAAAACTATAACTTTTCAAAGTTAAGGCTGTGATACTTTGCATAATGTATTATGCATTAAAGTCCAAGGTCGATACTCTTAAGGAGGAAAAAAGTAATGCTTACTTTTATTAAAGTATTCTCATACAATAAAATGGTCTGAAAACTTTATTATATATATCATATTTTGTTCACTACAACATTATAGAATTATGTAGCTTATGGCTCTTTGACCAAGGAATTCTGAGGTTGCTTTGCAAGTTCATTTTCCACAAGATGAAAAATCCCATTTGCTGTTATCATTTTGTGTTTTGTAACACGTAGATTAGTTCCTTTCAGGTATTGCTGATATAAGGAACAAAGTGAAACAGCAACTTAACTTCATTAAGAACTAGGGTGGTATAGTAGTTTGAGTACTGGACAAGGATTTTGGAGAACAGGGTTTGAATCTCCATTTAGCCATGGAAGCACACGGGGTGAGCTTGAGCAAGTCACTGGAAATGACCTGAAGGCACACAACAGCATGTGTCTCTATCCACTACCAGCACTCTGTAACTTCTCCTTGCCCCACTACCCATGAAATCTGGGGCAAGAAAGCTTCCATACTTCCATATGTGGAAAGCACTTCTATAAGAATCTGTAATGTTTTTTGAAGAGTATGAATGGAATAAAGTTTGAACTTGAGTCACACTAAAGTTTTCATTTCCTCAACCTGTCCATTACTTAAAGAATGAAGCTTGGATAGATAGCAGAGAATGGTATGAACCCAGCATATAATACCTAACCAATATAAATAAACCATTATTTCAAAGATTTACTACCACCATATTTATTGTAGTAAATCTTTAAAATCATGGTTTATTTATATTGGTTAGTTATTATATGCATGCTTCAGACCTGTCAATTTAATTACCTAAGTAGCGAGACTGATTCTAATCCAGTTCAAGGGTCTGGAGAACAAGCCCTATGAGTAGCGGCTTAAGGAGCTGGGCATGTTTAGCCTGAAGAAGAGAAGGCTGAGAGGAGATATGATAGCCATGTATAAATATGTGAGAGGAAGCCACAGGGAGGAGGGAGCAAGCTTGTTTTCTGCTTCCTGGAGACTAGGACAAGGAACAATGGCTTCAAACTACAAGAAAGGAGATTCCATCTGAACATGAGGAAGAACTTCCTGACTGTGAGAGCTGTTCGGCAGTGGAACTCTCTGCCCCGGAGTGGTGGAGGCTCCTTCTTTGGAAGCTTTTAAACAGAGGCTGGATGGCCATCTGTCAGGGGTGATTTGAATGCAATTTCCTGCTTCTTGGCAGGGGGTTGGACTGGATGGCCCATGAGGTCTCTTCCAACTCTTTGATTCTATGATTCTATGATCAGTGTAGATGGGGCCTGAGTTAGCCCCGTTAAATTCAATAAGACTGTTTTGTAAGTTTGCCTTTGTTAATGAACAGTGCCATGCTGCATCTCAAATGCTGAGTTTATTTTGGGGGGGAATTGCTCCAAACAGTTAGAAGACACAATGAGCGTATTATCATCTTCCAATTATGAAGGTGCTGTTATTCCCAGGCTGACCCTTTATTTCAATCTAGAGATTAAGTAGCTTCATTTGCAGAAGAACCTTTGTCTTATATACAGTGAACTTCATCTTGCATTACTTGTAAATTGCCTGGCTTTTCACCTTTTGTATTTTCTGGTACTATTTCTGTGCACCTTAAAATATTTTTCCCCACTAGTAACATCATGTCACCAAAGCACTTCATGGAAATAGCTAGTGATTGAGGAAAGAGGCCAGGAAGGTGAAGACAGGTGCTACACAAATCTGGTTGAAAAAAACTTTTAAGATGGCTAATGACAAAATCGGACAGGATTTTGCATCCAAGTCAGTGCATAGAAGCATGAGACAGACACACAGACCCCTTCTATCTTATCTTCTGCAATATTTCTACAGATACTATGGATAGCTAAAAATACAAGTAGTGGGTCTGAGAACAAAGCAAACCTGAACTCTGCCAAGATGACAGTTTTAAAATAGTTTTTTCCTCTTCTACACAATGAAGAGGAAGAAGAGAGAGAGAGAGCATATGTATGGTAGGAAGTTGAGAGGTTTCTGACAATATTAATCTATTGCTGAGGAAGCTATAGAGCAGACAGCACAAAGAGCAAACCAGGTAATCCCATCTACCTACCATTGCCTCTGGAAACATGCTGTTATTCCTGCAAGGAAAGTTTGAAATGTCTTCACCTCTAGTATTTTCTACCCATCCATAGTCAGTCTAGGGACCCTTCTACATAGTCATACAACCCAGAAAATCAAGGCAGATAATCCACAGTATCTGTTTTGAGCTGGATTATCTGAGTCCACAATGCCATATAATCCAGTTCAATGTGGATTTTATACAGCTGTGTGGAAGGGATCTCAATCTTAATATATGCATTACTATATGTTTTCTCAATATTCAATAGACGTGATTAGCATAAAGATAACCATGAGGAATCTCAGCACTGTGTCTGTGGAATTTTTGTTTGTTTTCTGCATACACAAGCTGCACCTTGGCTTTTCTTCGAAAGTCAGATGATATCACAGTTTTTCTCAAATAGTCCAATATCAGTAATTCAAATACATTATCCTTTCCTTTATCCAACACCACAAAGTCATATGGTTTTTCAGATAAGATAAATGCAATAATAAACACTATGTAGCACACTCCCATGTACTACTTTAAAAACAAATGAAAAATAAAGCAAATATAGCAATGTAACATTTCAGTAGTACCCAAAGAGGCCTCGGCAGCTGCCATGCTATTTTAAAACTAGAAATATTTGGATTGGGATTAGGAGCACTGCTGACATTGAATATGCTTTAAGCTTTAGTAGACACCATCACATTTTCTAACTCAGAATTTTAAAAAAATGACAAACAGATCATTATACAAAATTCAGTCAGACTGTAAAGATAACTCTTGTGTTTCACATTTTAATGTATTAGTTGTTCTTTTCGTGTGTTTAAAAATTAATTTTCTCAAGATTAAATATTAATTTGTTGTGAAACCTCACCTTTTCTGTCAGATAAATCATTGATTCAAATCATATATATACACATTTGTACCAGTGAAATGTTGTGACTCAGCAAGAGTCCTTAACTCTGAATCTTGACAGCTGCCAAGTTCAAGCCTTATCTTGGTCTTTATTGCACCTTTGTCATTTAAAACGAGATACTAAGAAAGACGAGCTTCCACAGAGAGCTAAAGAGCTGGGCTGAGTGTTTCGTGACCTCAAAAATGCAGGAGCACCTTTCAGAAACATCGACTATTTTGGCCACTGAGATTTTGACAACACAGCTAGACCTGAATTTTTCATTTTGTCCTGAAAATGCCACCATCTGCAATGGGACTTCATGTGTACAGCCTACTGATGATGAGTTCAACCGAATTCTGAATACCGTATTGAGTACCGTCCTCACCATCATGTTGGCACTGGTGATGTTCTCAATGGGTTGCAATGTGGAGCTAAAGAAATTCTTAGGACACATTCGAAGGCCATGGGGCATAATGGTTGGTTTCCTCTGCCAGTTTGGAATTATGCCTCTCACTGGCTTTGTGCTGTCATATGCTTTCAATGTGCTACCAATACAAGCCGTTGTTGTGATCATCATGGGATGCTGTCCTGGTGGAACTGCATCCAATATTTTAGCTTACTGGGTAGATGGCGACATGGATCTAAGGTAAGAGAAACCTGGTTTTGACTAGGAATGGAAATTCTCAACATATTTATCTTTATATGTGAAGATGAACAATTACAGAATACTTTTTCCCTGTAGCAGGAGAAAATAAATATTCCTCCATGGTATCGATATAGTGATTTGTGTGTTGGACTAGGCTGAAAGACCAAGGTTCAAATTCTCGCTCAGTCTTGGAAACTCCCTGGGTACCAGACGAGTCATGCTCCTCTCAGACGGCATCCCCCTCTGAACACATCTTGCCCAGACAACCCAGTGATAGGTTCACCTTAGGGTCACCATAAGTTGGAAATTATTTAAAAGGCACAAAACAACAACAGGGCTCTTCCAGCATTCAGACATCCCAAAGTGATATAAGGAAATTATGGTGCAAAGAAAACCATATGGAGAACATCCCTGTTTTTTACATAGCACACAGATGTTCTGTACAGGAGATGGCGTTTCCTATGCAAGTAATACATATTCTGTACACAGATAGAGATTTTGCAATATATATATATATATATATATATATATATATATATACACACACACACACACACACACACACACACACACACACACACACACACACACAAACTTCGTGTGTTAGTCTTTGGCTCATTCAAGTACTGTACCAGAAGAAAATTGCATAAAAGTCATGCTCATCTGTTATTCTTCCTGACAGGATTTCCCATCTACCATAAAAGTTGAGGAGTTCTGACCTTGGAAAGAATAATTACAAATATTATTTCCATCCCTGTTCCTGATATGGTTTGATGTGTTCCTAGAAATATATTGATAGGTTCCTAGCTGCAAACCTATGCAAGTACACCTGTCAGAAAGCTGCACTAAAGTCAATGTGGATTACATCTGAGGAAGCATGCCTTGAATCGTCAAATAAAGTATCTTGCGATGCATCTACACTGTGGAAGTAATGCAGTTTGACACCAGCTTAATTGTCAAGGCTTCATGCTATAGAATCCTGGGATTTGTAGTTTGGTGAAACACCAACACTCTGGTAGAGAAAGTTAAAGAACTTGTAAAACTACAACTCCCATGATTCCATAACATTGAGTTATGGCAATGTGTAGTACAAACTTTATTATAATTGAAATAGCAGTCCTTTTTATGCATAGGGGTGAAAAATTCAATTGGTATATTTGTGAACTTTTTAGGGTAAGAAATAATGTAAAGACAAGACAATGTGCTTATTCTTAAATGTGCATGGCTCAATAGGGGGAAGGTCAGGGGAAACACTCATAAATATACTCTAGCTCATGAGATGACATTGCATAAATGGTACAATGTGTACATAAACTGAACAAAGAAATGTATACATTAGGAAAAATGTGTACAATGTGAGAATTTTGGTATTGCAAGAAAACAGACTCTAAGAAAACTTTATTTTTAAAAAAACAAGATGTCAGAAAGATAATATCACAAGTGTGATGGTGAGGGAGACTGAAACAGACAGAGTTTTACATCTCTGACATTAGTACAATTCAAACACTTTGAGAATCACAGGTTTTGATTACCTGTGTGCTTTAGCTATACTGGTGTGGATGTCTCCATTTTGGATAGTCCTTCCTGTGACTTTGTAATGATGTTCAGTAACCTATTCAGTATGTTAGAGCTTTTAATGATTTGGCAGCAAAAACAGTGCTACTCAAACTGATGTGTAGACAGGTGCCAGTGAACAAGCTACTTGGTGCTTTTTATTTTCTCCAGGAAAGAAAGCAACCATTGTACCCGATGTGTGCAAATTTAGGGCCATCCCCTAGCATATGGAATACAGTAATTGCTGCCTTCCACATCATGTAGCTTTAAAAGCCATGGTTCAAACATGGACTAGATGTGAAATGTAAGTAGAAGGGAGAGAAAAGGAAGAGGGAAGGGGAAATCACAAGCGGTGGGGGAGTAATATTACAGGAATTATAAAAAAAAAATACAGCCATAGGCAAAACTTACCAAACCCCTGAGAAGAAAGAGAAGGAGAGAGATAACACAAGCAGGATATTTCAATAACAATTAGGCTAGATGGCAACATCCCTGAACAATCAAGAACACTTGAAACAAAATGACTTGGAAATTTCCAAACCACGTAGTCTGGATGACTCCCGTTATTTAGAGAGAGAGAAAAAATGCAATTCACCATTTTCTGCAGTCTAAATCTTCCCCCAAGCTGACATTCTCTCTGAGACAAGAACAGGTTTGATTGACCACCTCATCACATGGGCTATTTTTCCATGGTGACAGGTGTTCAGTGGTTCAGCCACTGAGCCCAATGGCTCCCATGACATACTGGAAAAGTACTTCCAGAGTGGCTGCATAGCTAAACAGTCACAAAAACCCTGCCGCAGCCAAAAAATTACCAGTGGTGCACAACAAGAGGCTCCCTGTCTTTCCCTAAGGAAAGATGGGTCTAACCAGCTTAAAGAGGCTTCCCCCCATGTGATGAGGTAGGGGGGAAGCTGGAACGGTGCAGGGTGCAGGACAACAGGTCCCCATGCTCCCTGGGCGGGCACCACCAATATCACCATTTATTTATTTTTTTGGTCGTGTCAGGAGTGACTCTTGGTGTGAGAGAATTGGCCATCTGCAAGGACGTTGCCCAGGGGACGCCTGGATGATTTGATGTTTTTATCATCCTTGTGGGAGGCTTCTCTCATGTCCCCGCATGTGGAGCTGGAGCTGATAGAGGGAGCTCATCCGCCTCTCCCCGGATTCGAATCTGCAACCTGTTGGTCTTCTGTCCTGCTTGCACAGGGATTTAACCCACTGTGCCACCAGGGGCTCCTACAATATCACCATGATCCACAGTGATTAACAGAAATTCCAGTGGCGCGTGTGACAAGGTCTTTGGTACTACTGGAATGATCTTATCTGGGTCCTACTTCCACTGACTTGTGTTTTAAAAAAAAACACTCAGAGATCCAAGCTTCTCATGTTGTTATGTTGATCACTCATATTAGATTATTCACATTAATTTTATTCCTGGAAGACATCACCATCCAAAAATTGTTAGTCTGCATGGAAGCCCGCTGCTTGGAATCACTATCACACACTAGCTAAAGTGAATAGAGAGTACTAAAGAAATCATGTATTTGATGGGATGTGCTGGTTTTTAGCTGGACAAGTGAGAAAAGTTGGTCCCTTTCACACTACAGTTACAAAGTGATGGGGCTGGTTTAACTACCATGGCAATACCCTATAGAGTTGAAGACTGGTTCTGCACTGTTATATAATGTTGTTTGAATTGCATTATATGGTCACTGCAGAACCTTATAATGCATTTTGAACTGCATTATATGGCAGTGTAGAACCAGTCCTAGCATTTGCAGTTTAGAGAGTGATATTTGGAATTCTTGGTTGGGGATCTCTTAAAACTAAAAACCGCAGTATTCCATCAGAATTAGCAAAGGCAGTTAAAGTTGCATCTTAGTTTTGTAAAAGTGTGGAGTGAAAAGACATATAGATCTGTAAGAAAAGAAAATGAAAGCATAAATGTATGTACATGAAATCTGCACAGAGGAGAACAATGAAGTGAGACATGAGAGAATACAAAGAATTCCTTCCCATCTCTATATCTTAGTATCCATGTAGAAAAATAGTGCTAGCATGGATTTTTCTCTTCTTGCAACATGAATTAAAATAACCCCATGCTTACAGGGAACTCCTCAGCACCAGATTCTAGAGGCCAATCACAGAGTAGGGCATCATTTCCATAACTATCCCTTTTGCTTTCAAATTCACCCCAACAGCTCTGATGTTTTCCAACAGAGACTGTCCTAAGGAACCTATCATTTTTCCAGAGGAAATTTAAGGTGGGTGTCAGTTCTAATGTTGCCAATGTTCTCCCATTTCACCACTGCAGAAGTCTTAGATTGCTTTTGAAACTTTTTTTTTAGCTCAGAAGGGATGTTTTCAAAATCTCTCCCATAGATATATTCATCCCATTTTGGACCAAGCTCCGAGAGTGTGCATGTTATTTCCTAGGCCATTTCCAATGCTTAGCTTGACTGTATACAACTTATATATGAGGATGCATATAGAACAACATATGCAATTATGCCTACAATACCAGTTTCTTAAAAGCCACCCTATACCTCCTGCACACAAATATCCCAACTGTTGGGAAGTCTCATCTAAAAGATCAATTGAAGCATTATGCATATTTCTAAACACCTGTTATGGACACTTCTTTAAGACTGCGTATTCCCTCAAACTCCCCTCCAAGTTCATAAACTATCCAAATTCCACAATCACTATGGTTCAAAAGTGCCTTCTAATGCTACTACTGGAGAAGTCAGGAGGTCAAGATTTTCTCCCAATTTGATATGGCATCCATATAGACCCATCATATTATATGGAAACCTTCCTAAGCATGCATTGTGCCTTGGTTGGAAAACCTCCATGTTATCAACAAAATATTTTTGTGATCATTGTGATATGAACATTAAGCATGACCAATTGATTCTCTTGCAGCATCAGTATGACAACATGTTCAACCTTGCTGGCCTTGGGAATGATGCCACTTTGTCTCCTTGTGTATACCAAAATTTGGACAGACTACAACTCCATTTTGATCCCTTATGATAGTATTGGTATGTTAATTCCTCACATTCTTCCCTTACAGCAGTCTACTAGTGATTTTCATCTAGAGAACTTGAGTGTGGATGTATTATTAAGCTGCACAACCCTGGTTCTGATTTGGGAATGGGCAGGCATGCTACTTCAGTACTCCTTCTTCCAGGATTGTACAGTACTTGTACAGTACTTCAAATACAGTGATCTCTTTCGTAGACCAGTGACTCCCAGTTTAATACCCACAGATATTATTCACATAAAACTTCAAGAATCCTTGACCGTTAGCCATAGTTTTGATATCTTCTTGGAGTTTAAAGGGAATAACATCAATCATAATAGAAAGTAATAGAAAAAGAAAACAAAACCAGCTTTGAATCCTATTTGGGGAACAAACTGGGGGTTTCTATCTGAAGGACTGACTGGATGACAGTAGGGTTTGTTGACAGAGTTTGTGAAAAGTGCAAAAGAAACCTCTAAATCCTATGTCATGTTCAATAGGCTGATAAGATATAAGGCAATAGACATGGATAGTTGAGAAGTTGTTACAGATATGATACCAAAGCTCATCACGAGCTTTGGTATCATATCTCACTCATACTGATACTCAACAGATACTCACTCTTTATATGTAGTGCTTTAGTCTTTAATACTGGTCGCTTAAACTAGTATGTTGTAAGTTTCTAGGGAGCAGAGTCACCAGTAATAGGAAATGTGTTGTCCTAATATCTTTCCTATGATCAGGCAAAAGATTGGTTCTTGGACAGTAGTGTTTATACAATAGATTCAGAGGTAAGGGGACTGAAGAAAGAATGCAGATTGGCACTTCACAACGTAAAGGATAGTAAATGGCAAGAGAAATAAAATAGTGGGTCACAACAGGAAAAGAGGGAAGTTCTGAAGAAATTTTGAAATCCTTCATAAATATGGTCTATGTCCTCAAGTGGTAGGAGTGTGAAAGAGGCTATCCAAAACCATCAGTGACTATAGCAGTGGTTCTCAACCTGTGGGTCCCCAGATGTTTTGGCCTTCAATTCCCAGAAATCTTTACAGCTGGTAAACTGGCTGGGATTTCTGGGAGTTGCAGGCCAAAACACCTGGGGACCCACAGGTTGAGAACCACTAGATTATATCAAGATGGACAAAACAGTCAATAGTCTGAAACGCTGACAACTGAGGAAACAATAGATGGTGAAGGAGAAAGCTGGATTGCAAGAAACCTCAGTGAGATTGATACCAAATTAGACAGGCATAGGGGATACTAATGGTCCAGTAGCCAAAACGCCACAGGGTGCTAGACATTGGAGACGTGGAGCTCATTCACACCACACACAATTATAATACTATATTCTACTTCAACTGTCATAACAGCATTCTAGGAAATATCAGGCATTTGCTGTCTGAGGACGCAGTAGAGTTTTATTTATTTATTTACAGTATTTATATTCCTCCCTTCTCACCCCACAGGGGACTCAGGGCGGATTACAATGTACACATATATGGCAAACATTCAATGCCAAGACACACAACATAGACAAGAGTTCTTTGGTTGAGAATTCTAAATGTCATTCTCCAAGTGCAAATTGCAGGATACAAAATATGGAAATGTGGAACAAAGTGCAATGATTGTGTCATGTAAATGGACCATAGCTAACTCCAAACTGGATCCTTCCAAAAGTCGTTGACTATGAACTTCATTACATGGAGGTTCTTAAGCCAGGAGATAGTGGGGCAAACCTATTGGGTAGCAGGGAAAACTAGCATTAAGTGCCCCACATCTTCCCTTCCCCATCACATGGCGAAACCATCATTGCTCACCCCCCACACACACACACACACACACACACACCATCCCCAGCTTAGGTAATGAGAACACAGGTATGCTTCCAGGATGGAGCCCTGCCAGCATCATGTGATGAGTTTTGGTGGGCTCTGTCCTGGCTATATCCTGGAAGTGTCTCAGGATGGGGCAAAAGCCCCCTGTGACAAAGTCGTAAAACTCCCGTCAACACTGATTGCCCTGACCCAGAGGGACCCAGATTGAAAAAAAATATGTTCCAGACTTTGACAAGGAAACTGATAGCATTGTAAAAGGGCAATTCTAAAATGGTAATGGATTCAAAACAATTGCATCTATTGATTTCAACTGACCTGGCAGTTCTTTGACTGCAGGTTTCTAGTCAATATGAATTGCTTTGGAATCCAAAATTGCTTCCAAACTGATACCATTCTATTTTTAAGGCATATCATACCCATGCAATATGTCATTTTATTCTCTTTCTCTCAGTTCCCCCAAAAAGCCACTTGTGTCTTGTCATTATTATTATTATTTCAACCAAGAATGACACAATGCTACACAATGAAATAAGCTTTAAATTGGTGCCTATTGCAGAAGCACCCAACAGCAAAAATCAATGTTTAGTAGTGTCATAAAAAAGCATAAACTACAGAATGACTATGATTATCACAGGGGGATGCTGTATTTCTGTTATTCACCTAGATGACTTCATGTGGCTATAGACAGTTTGTGATTATCTGGCTGGGCTATCAGACAGAATGCAGTGGATGCTCTGTGGTACTGTGATTAGGGAAATCGTCCTCAGGCATGGCACTCCCTGGGTGACTGTGTGGAGCCAGTCACTCTCTTTGTCGTTAGAGGTCCACAGAGACAGCTCTGAGTTCCTTTAATGAAAAGAAAGACTGTAAATAAGTAGCCTGTTGTATAACACACAAAGTATAATTGTGTAAAAGTCAGAATGAGAAGAGAAAATGATCTCCCCAAGCCTATGCTTGCAAATAACTTCATTGTTCAAAGTAAGTTCTTCTTGGTTTAGGAGCCCTTTCTCTAATTTTCCATGTTTTTCTCCCCCAGGTATTTCACTGGTAGCACTTGTCATTCCTGTTTCTGTTGGGATATTTTTTAAGCATCGATGGCCCACCAAAGCTAAAATCATATTGAAGGTAAGATCTGAAGTTTCCAAGTATATATCCAATGGAAATTCAAGATATGCCTCTTTGAGAACAAGCTGGCTTATTTACTTTAGTCAGTTACCTGATTGAATGTGTCACCCATCCAAACTGGAGGACTTAGGGGCTGGATATTAAAGTACTTCTGGATCTCTGGATAGATCTTGAGGCAGTGGTTCACAGCCCTAGATGTTGCTGAAAGGCACCTCTCTGAACCTCAGCCAATTTAGTCAATGGTTAAAGAGCTTTCGCCAATGTTTCCTTAATGGGGTCTGAAAATATGTTCTTTGCACAGGGCTAAATAATTAGGCGTAGATGTAGAAGCTGTAGTAAGAAACTTGATCTGTGCTTCGGAATACATGGTGCAAAGGCTTTTCATTACTGTTGTGTTAAACAGTACTGTTGTGTTAAACTTTTCTTTATTCTTTTACTTGCCCACAGGTTGGCTCCATAAGTGGTGCAGTTCTCATTGTGATCATAGCTGTGGTTGGAGGAATATTGTACAAAGGTTCATGGACAATTACGCCTCAGCTTTGGATTGTTGGAACCATCTTTCCAGCAGCTGGCTATTCACTAGGTTTTTTTCTGGCCCGTGTAGCTGGACAGCCTTGGCATAGGTAACACTCTCTACATTTTCATTCTCCTTTGATTTGCCACGAAACGTATAGTCACATCAATAATTGATTTTTAAATAATAAGTTGCAATCACCTCATCAGAACTCAACTGACTATAAAAAAATCTATAAAAACAGAAAAGTCACTCTCTAGCTGCTTTTAAAACTGAGCTGATATTTCTTGTGGCTTATTATCATCCACAATTTTGAAATGTCTTTGTTAAAAGAGAACTTGTTACAAATCACCATTCCCAATATAATACTTATATAAAATTTGCCAGCACAATGGATTAAACCCTTGAATGAAACATTGGTGGTTCAAATCTGGGAGGTGGGGTGAGCTCCAGTCTGATAGCTCCAGCTCTTCATGCGGGAACACAAAAGAAGCCTCCCACAAAATGGTAAAACATCCAGGCATCCCCTGGGCAACATCATTGCAGATGCCAATTCTTTCACACCGAAAGTAACTTCCAGTTTCTCAAGTTACTCCTGACACGAAAAATAAAATAAAATAAAAAATAAAAAAGTATCTTATGTCAGAAAATTCAGTCATTTAGTCAGTCTTTCCAAATCATTGGGTTACCAGACGTTGTTGGACTACAATTTATATCATCTCTAATCAGCACTGTAGGACTGATAAGGCCTAGTTTAGTATATATACCTTGTATATATACCTTGTATAACCTTGTATACATCTTGAATTTTAAAAATCCACAGAGGATAAATGGGGACCCTTCCCACTATATCTCTGCCCTCGATATTCCCCACTTATAGTAGTTTTCTAATTATTCTAAAATAGCTATAGTTCCGTGGAAGAGCACCTTCCTTACATGATTATTCAATCCCTGGCATATCCAAAGAAAAATGTCAAACGTTAGGACTGAGATGTGCATACAACCTTAGAAAGTTGTTGCTAGCACTCAGAAAGAATAGACCAAAGATGGGAAACTATTTCCTCCCAAAGCCAAGTGTCAATGCATACACCTTCACTCAGAAAGAGAAAACAAATTTTCCTTGTGGTTCACTCTACAGTGAAACTCAGTCATTCTTTCTTTTCTCCACTGCTAAGCTATTATCCTTTATTAGTTGATTGTAGTTTATAGTTCAGCAATGAGAGAATGAGTCTCCAGGAAGAGGCTTGGTGGGTCCGAATATTTTTTTTAAATGGAATGTATCTGATCCATAGGCAAGAGATTGCCCAGTCCTGGACTATTCCATGGACTGTTAATTTTTGCCAGAGGATTTCTCTATTGATGCTGTCAAAAGTCGATGAAAGCCACATATAACCTGTTCTTTCTTTTTAGATGTTTGTTAATTAGGTGATTTAGTACAAAACAGTTGTCCATGGTGGATCTTCCTGATCTGAAACCGGCTTGTTCTTCTGATAAGATTTTGTTATCATATTCCCATAGCTCTACTTTGGAGAGAAGTACTTTTGAATAAATGTTGGCTACATTGGTTTTAAGTTGACAAACCTGTTTACCCCAAACATGGTTTGTGCATTCAAGTCCACCCATGGAGAGGAAAGGCTGTGCTGTAATGTTTATAAAGATTGTGACAAATGTTTGAAACACTCAGGAGAAAGCATCCCACTATGTTACAAAATAGAACATCAGTTGTTCCATGGCATCCTATTACATTTTAGAAGTCAAACTCATCTATTGTCTATTACCATGCACAAACATCTGTCTTATCATTTCTGGGAGCTACTGTAACCAATGGCATCTACGCTCCAGTATTATGGAAAGGTACTGAGTAATTGCCCAAGAAGTCAGACTGAAATGTAAGCAACATACATGTGGCATATAGCATCCTACATTCAAAGTCTTGGGATGCATACCCTGAAAGCCCCCATGGAGTATATGTGTGGAATAGTAACATATTGTGTACTCTGCAATAGAGTCAGGAGGTCACTTACTGCTGTATTTGCAATTTAATTCACCTGCCTTTCTCTCTATTCTGCAATGTACAATGACACAAAATACATTGATGCAATCGGATACCAGTCACAGCTTCATGCATTGTGTAATTGGCTCCAGATCAGCTCCAGCTGAAGCTACCCATGGCCAATTCAAAGATGTGCATTCAGTATGCAGGTGAACAATTGGAGGATAGCTGGCTCAGTGGGGAAGTTCACTTTGGATTCGTAAAGAATATACAACTCACCACCTGCCTTCCAAACAATATCATTCTTGCTCTTTGGTTAGTGAAAAAGGAAGCTTCGTGCATTTGAACCACTGCTATAAAAGAAGGAAAAAGAAAAATCAGAACTTCTCTATTGTTAATTGCAGCAAAGATCTGACAAAAGACATTGTCCTTGAAAGAAGCATTTTTATCTGTGTTCTGCTAATAGCATAAATATAAGAATGGAATTTGGCTTCAGTCATACTTTTAGTGCATGATAAATGGTTCTGTACTAACTGTCTCAGGTCATAAAGTCTTTGAATGTTTTGAGGACTATGATTTGAGGACATGCTCTAGAGATTCTAACCTGCTCAGTTTGGTTTTAAATGTCTAAAAGTTTGAGGGAAAAACAATACAAAGTGTAAAGGAGGGAGGCCTTCATCTTCACTGGAACTCTCATGTGGTGGAGAAGAACATAAAGCTTCATCTCAGCTAAGCATGTCTCATATTTTGGTGAAATGTATATAACAAAAATACCACTTGTATAACATAAACAATGATATAATTCAACAACAGTATATAAACATGCTGCACTGTTAACCTCACAGCGACAACAAACAGTATGGTGCAAACTTTTAGTACAGTCGTATTTTCTTATAAGTAGCTTGAGTAACAGCCTACCACAATTCAACAACAATATATATACATGCTGCACTGTTAACCCCACAGCGACAACAAACAATGTGGTGCAAACTTTTAGTACAGTCGTGTCTTCTTATAAGTAGCTTGTGGGACAGCCAACCACGACCGGTTTCGGCCTACCTCAGGCCTTCCTCTGGTGGACTGTAAGTCCACACTTACAGTCCACCAGAGGAAGGCCTGAGGTAGGCCGAAACCGGTCGTGGTCGGCTGTCCCACAAGCTACTTATAAGAAGACACGACTGTACTAAAAGTTTGCACCACATTGTTTGTTGTCGCTGTGGGGTTAACAGTGCAGCATGTATATATATTGTTGTTGAATTGTGGTAGGCTGTTACTCAAGCTACTTATAAGAAAATACGACTGTACTAAAAGTTTGCACCATACTGTTTGTTGTCGCTGTGAGGTTAACAGTGCAGCATGTTTATATACTGTTGTTGAATTATATCATTATTTATGTTATACAAGTGGTATTTTTGTTATATACATTTCACTCAGGAACCCATCTATATTATTTCATATTTTGGTGAAGCCAGGGAAAGACTTGGACCTTCTGGAAAGAAATTGCATTATCTTTTTTTATTGTAGCCATTGATTTTAGATTTTGAAGCCTTTGTTCCAATTTTACAATCCTCTTGTCTAAGTTCATACAACACTTGAAAATTATATGTATACAAAGAAACACATGCACATACACACATATTAGAGGCTGCAGTTCAAAGAAATCCACAGCTGGCATGGACAAAGATCTGCTTATCAAAAAAAGAACTTTCCCAAGCTTTAAGGTACAATGATGGGACAATGATGACAATAATGACAATGATGGTGGTGGTGGTGGTGGTGGTGATGATGATGATGATGATGATGATGATGATGATGATGATGACAGTTGTGTATGTTATACATGATGCATAAACCTTTCTTTCTAACAAATGTTACTGTTTTTTCAGATGCCGTACAGTGGCTCTCGAAACAGGAATGCAGAATACACAGCTTTGCACAACTATAGTGCAACTCTCTTTCACCCCTGAGCAGTTAGCCCTGATGTTCACTTTCCCACTCATCTACAGTATTTTCCAGCTTGGTTTTGCGGCAATGATTTTGGGAGGTAAGAGCCATCCTGTCTAGTATTTACCATTCTGAACTCATCTTCAGGAAAGTTTCAAGAGATTTTTTAAAACTGATTATGAGAAATAATTATAATTAAAAATAAGCAACATTGAGTTGATTCATACTGATCACAACTGAATTAATAAATCTGAAGTGTGTTGTAATATAAACTGTGCAAACACACAAAAATTAGCTGGGCCACATGTTGGAGCCCCATTGCTCCTCTGCAACAAAAGAAGCAAGCTGTGATTATGCAATAATAATGACCCAACTCAAACTTTTTGTGCTCAAGTAGAAGTGGATAAATGCAGCCCACATGCTGTTTTGGTGGAGTTCATGGATCCTGCTGCTGCTCTCATGGTTCCCAACTATCAGTCTCATCATACAGGGCTTAAACCAGCAGTATACACCAGTTAATCCCTCAGTCATCCACTGAGCTCACCGGTTCCCATCAAACAACACTTCCGACAGAGCTTCATGGATGTTCTAGGGCAGAGGTGGTGCATGCCACTACTGTGGCAACATGGGACCCTTCCTGTGTTGCCATAGGAAGGAATTGGGGGAAATTGTGTGGTCAGCGCTTCTCCCATGAAATCAGTTTTCTCAAGAGCCAGACAATGTGGGGCATGAGGCAGTAGGTTTCCCATGCCTTCCAACAAAGGTAACCATGTGGCGATTCTGGTGGCCGTGTGACAATTCTTGCCTAGAAAATACTGTGATAGACTTGTCTTAGGATTGCCATCTGTCAAAAATAGCTTGAAGGTAAACAACAACAGAGTTGTTCCTGGACACATCGCCATTTCTAACATCTGCTCTTAGGTTACAACAGTTTCCAATTTTTATGCTTTAGGCTTTTGGGATAAACAGGAAAGAGGAGAAATGCACCTCCTAATTGGTTACTGGAGGAGAAGTTCCCTGGGTTTTCTTGCACACACAAAAATCAGCAAATTGGGGGAAGTTCATGGGGTTCTAGAGTCTGCAAAAGAGTCTGGAGGCTACCCATAGCTTGTGGGTTTTTGGTTTTTTTGGATTTTTTTGGATTCCCACCTTTGCCCTAGATTCTTTCTCTCCTTCCAAACCAGCTGCCTTTCTCACATATTTTTCAAATTGCAGCACTCCTATTTTTCTCTAAGATGCCAAATTGAAGCCATCCTGCAGATGTGTTATCAGTTCAACTCAAATGCAAAAGAGGGCAGGGCTCCTGTACTTTTCATAGTTGTGCAAAATGGAATTTCAGCAAATATCACCTGTCATACAAACTCCCATGCTGAAATTCCCTTTTCTACACAACTATCAAAAGAAAAACAACCCTGCCCACTTTTTGATTTGACTACCCTGTTCAGGGCACGTGATTAGCCAACAATTCCCTCAAATAAAAAATGATGAATGCATGCCTATTCCAAAGTAGATGCCATACTTCCTGGCATGTCAAGATAGCTTTTCTTTTGCAATGCCAAAGTTAGGAAGCAAAATGTTTTCCTGCAACTTGCATCTTGTGTCTTGTTTATTGCAATGCTAGCCACTGACAAATCATTTCAATTTTATTAGCATACCGGATACACAAAAAGTATTTTGCTGATCGAAGGACAGACCTAACAGAGAAGGAAAATGTAGATGAATCAATTCCAGCATCGAATTACTCAACTATGAATGGAGGATTTACATTGGAAGAACCAGTAGAATCCCCTGTGTCAGTGACTGCTAATGGGAAAGTATAAATACAGTGGATTTTATTGAACTCCTTTTTCCTGAACAATATCTATTGCTTGATGTGTCGTATCCTTTTCTACAGAAAGTATGTTACTTTTAAATTATTCATTTATGAAAAGAGTCTGACATTTTCTTGAGCTTCTGAATGAAATACAAAAAGTGAAGTTATTTTGTTTCTAATTGATTCTGATTTAATATTTTGTCCATTAGATAAATGTATACCATAATAAACCAGTTGATTTAAACATCGAAAATGTGTACTTTTTTGTACTTCATTTTGCAAATACAATGGTGGCGGAGGGATGGGTATTTTTATGTGAGAAAGTGAGAGTAAGGGAGAGAGGAGGAGAGAATATATGGTGTATATGAGTGAAAGAATATGTGACCTCACCCACGTTTTGCTTAAATCCTCCCTATCAGATTGCAATCTCCCGAATAGGAAAACTTTCTCTATCTCAAATTTCTTTCAACCTAATCATTTGAAATGTGGTTTCGGAATTTCCTCATCTCACACAATTTGAAGCAAACCTCCTTCCAGAACATGGTGGTAAATAATTCCAAACAAGAATCATAATTCAAATCTATGATTTTACACCAAGAAATATGTCTATAATAGGGAAAGGCAAACTTGGCTAAGTAGTTCTTAGTCAAATCTCCAACACATGGAAAAATCCATTATTACACTTCTGGGTGTTGTAGTTTAATGTGGCATGTTCCAGCATAATAAAAATTGGTAAAATAGAGCACTTGGCAAACAAAATTAAAATAAAGAATTCTGAGCACTAGGCATACTTTTTTCCATTATTAAGAAGAAAGGAGGATGCCAAATGTGAAAGAGAATAAATTGGGTTTTTTGTTGGCCAGATGTTGGAAAACTACTTTTGGATTTTGGCATCATATACCAAAGTGTGGAAGGGCCTTTTGCCATCCTTCCCAAGTAAGCTACAGGACTCTGCAGAATTGAATCCCTTGAAACATCTATTACAGTCCACATTGGAGAGAAATTAGTGCACCAAGTCAATGTCCACTGTGTACATATTATGAAAAGATTAGTCATGAATGAAATTTCAATTTTCACATGGCTTGCTCAGAAATGTTAGATTAGTGTCCAAAGGAAAACAGGAGATATGCCCATTTAAAAAACAAAAAAGATTTATGGCTTAAACTTAAGCAAGTATGTTTATGCTTAAAATCATAGAATCATAGAATCATAGAGTTGGAAAGGACCACGTAGGTCATCTAGTCCAACTCCCAGCCATGCAGAAAAAGCACAAAGTTTGGAAGTAAATATCCATTAATTCACTGATCCAGGACTCCTAGTACACATACTTACCTGCAATTTTCATGTGGACTCATTTAACCAGGATTAGACAGTGTGTTAGCCTTCAGATGTTGTTGGGACTACAAGTCCCATCATTTCTCATTACTAACTAACTATACTTTCTGGAGGAAATGGACATTCAATAATACTTGGAAGGACCAAGCCTTGCTATAACGCTAACATGACAAATACTGAAAATAATTTTGCAGTTGTAGTAAATAATTCTAGGAATTTTTCTACCATGCTTACCACTACACAAGTGCACACATTTACACATGCACACCCTAAAGGTGGCTAGTGCCAGCCCTATCAGTATAACAGTGAATTTGTTCTGAGTTTTAGTCTGAACTTTAAAGAAGCTATTCAATGGGCTGAACCTATTTGGTGAGATACCTATTTGGTGGGTTATGTTTCAGCACCTTGGATAGTTCCTTAAAATTCATGCTAAAACCAATATTCACCAATACAGCACCATGAGAGCCACCAACTTCATAAACAATATAGTGCTCAGATATCCAGCTTGTAGCTGCAAAGGATGCCAAAAACTTTAAATTTTGGTAGAGTTTAAGAAGACAATAAAGCACAGCTACTTTTGCTTGAAATATCTACATACTCCACATTTACTTTCAGCTCTGGTGGGGGAAAATACTCTTATTAGTTGTGTGTCCATCTCAAAGTTACCAATTTCATGGGCTTCTAACCATAACAAGTGATATCAAGAGATCAAGCAAATAAATAATCACCATTCAGAGATAATGGGAATAAGGGCTTCATCCAGTTTATTGTAAATAGAGAAGATGAGACATTCATAGCTAGGTCCAGAAGCAGATGAAAGGTTTGCCCTCCATCTCAACTGCCACTGCCCTGGTCTCAGAGGAAGAGAAGAGGCAAGCGCTGCCCCATCACACCTAAGCCCTGAAGTAAATGAAAAGTTCTCCCACCATCTCAACTGCCATTGGCTTAGAAGGCAGAAAAGAAGAGAAGGTATCTGGTGGGCTTATTTCCATCCACCACTGCCATTCCCTTTTCCTTGTGTGCCCAGTCTTACTGAGACCAAAAGCCTAAGGACAGGGAGCTGTCAAATTAAAAAATTGTAAGCTGCTCAAAGCATTTGTGGTATAAAATGAAAGAAAGAAAGAAGGCAAGCAAGCCAGGGTTAGGACTATGCTACAATGAAAGGCACAAGAGTCGTTTCAAGGAAACATTGCTAATTAAACTTATTGATATATTTCTCTGAAGTTAGGCAAGGTTAACAGAAGTTAGTTTTATCTACTCAAGTCCCAATTTTTTCCCCTGGCTTTTACTGGAATAAAACAGTGCTTTACAAAATGCTCCAATTAAACCTTCCCTCTGTCTGCTAGTTGGGATGAAAAATGTTGAATATGAAGGTATGTGGAGGGTTGTAGAAGGCCATGTTGACTGGAACATTCAGCTATCATAGTTTTCCAAATTCTGTTCACAGGTTGAGGAGTTTATAAATACCACAGAAGATTACTTGAGTTGGTAGAAAGCATCATTATACAAAGCTCCCTTGGATTCTCTGACCTCATTGGTCAAGTGAACTTAATATTGTCCATATAGGAGCTTATCTTATCTAGCTGCCAGTGGAGGTAAGAAAAGGATGTGAATGTCTGTGTATATGCTTTCAAGTCACCTTTTCACTTATGACAACCTTGTAATTTTCATAAGGTTTTTTAGGCAATAAATGTTCAGAGGTGGTATTGCCAGTTCCTTCTTCTGAAGTATAGCCTACAACACTTGGCATATATCTGCAGTCTCCTATCCAACTACTAACCAGGGCTGAGCCTGTTTAGCTCAGCACTTAATGAAATTGAAGATTGTATCCAGTTCAGCGATGGCTAATGGCTCTCATGCCAAAAAGACAATGACTGCATCTTATTAAAGTTCATATAAGAGCCAGAGTGGATTTTGTGCTTCATTGGCATCAGACCTGTCACCTCCAATTGGTTAGAAGTTCTGACTGGCAATAGGTCTCCAGGATTCCAAGCAAGGATCTAACTGGAGATCCCAGGGACTGGACCTGGTTCCTTTTGCATCAAAAGATCGCCCTCTTTTGGTGAATGTCATCCTTTTCCCTAATGTTTTCAAAGTTCAACTGGATAAGAAGGAAAATTTCCAATCAATTCCCAATCACAGTAGGATTGGTTTGTCACATTTTTAAATAAGTACTGATTAGTACTTGGATGAAAAACACCAAAGACTACCAAGCACTGCAAGTTATAGTTAAGAAAGAGGAACTGGAAAAACCACCTCTGAATATTTCTTGCCTAAGAACATTCACTAAAAGAGGCAGATGTTTTGCATGCAAAAGGACCCAATGAAATTCATGGGGTCACCAAAGGTCAATAGATAACATGAAGACACACATACACAAATAATATTCAATTGTCACCTGGAATAAAGAAAATGAAGTGAAGCAAGAGCAGAATCTATAAATGGTCCAACTGTATTATTGATTGTTCTATTTTTAATCTACTTACCAAAGTATCTAATAAACAACTTATGCACTTTAACTTAAATGCCTCATATGTTGAATTGGTGCTTCCTGTTTAGAACATCTTCATGCAGCACAGAACTGCCTATTACTTGGATTCAGTAAAATATCACTACTATGGAACCTTAAATCCTTATAGCACTGATATAGCCATGAGCCTATAGTGTGTGTGTGTGTGTGTGTGTGTGTGTGTGTGAAGTGAAAGAGAGAGATGATTTTAAAAACTTGAAGAGAACACCACATTTCTTGAACAATAAAGCCAAGCTGGGTTACAAACCGATAAAATAAATGAATGTCATGAACTTTTTAAAAAAGATACTTAGCCTGTCACAGCATAAAAAGGAAGAAGGCAAAGGGGAAAGGAGAAATGTAGCAGGTTCTGGTTTATTTTAGCATGAGTGTGGTGGATGTCAAGCACTCATTTACATTCTCTGTCACACACATGCTCATGGATGCACATGCAGAGAGAGAGAAAGCGAGAGATGCACTGCAAAACACCACCTTGGGGTGGAACGGGGAAAGCGGGGAGAGGTGATAGGCCTCCAAATACCAATAAAGCAAATTGATTGTGACACTTCTGCAGAAAAGGGTTCACTCTTTCCGGTGAAGAGGAAATCTATGTTCAGATGTGTCAAAACATTAAAGGGAAAGACCTTTCCTGAAAATCCAAGAAGGTGAGGAAGAGCAACTCCCTGTAAGTTCATTTTTAAGGTATCTCGGTCTATGGTTTTTGTGTCCATGGAAAAAACTGTTCCAGATTTTAGTCTGAATTTTAAATTTGTTTTCTAAAATGCTTAATCTGATCCTCAAAAGAGGTTCAGCCCCTTTGATAGCACCTGTATATTTCAGAATATAATCTGAAACAGAGGCACACTACACTCGCTGACACAGAAGCCATGATCTCAATGCAATCCTATGGTTGCACACATGCAGGCCACTTTGAAGTGTCAGGAAATGTCATGAGTTCCACTTACCCAGGAGCTGAGATTCTTTACAAGAAAGTTGGTAGAGGCTGACCCCTCTTCTGTGATATCAAGTTTATATAGATACATAAAGAGATAAAATGTACCATAGTTTGACCTCATTCAATTTCTCCACATTCTTGTCCGGAATATAGGTTATATATCCAAGCAATCAACACCCAACACCCAATTCTTTTAAAACAATGCTTA